AATTAAGGAAAGAGAAGAATGATGAAAAATGATGGAAAGGAAGGGAACGCATGATTATCAGGAGGGWGGCCTAATTTCGCCTCGATTACCCGCCATTAGTTCTGACCCCGGATTATTTATTTATTTCTCTTCTGACTACATCTCTCAATTTTCTGGCGATTGAGATTTGCTCAAATGACCTACCTGATTACCCTGATTTCTAGCCTCGACGCAACCTGTGTGTTATGAGTGCGTGGAGGGTGGACAGCAAGGTGTTATTGTCATATTACTTTGGTTATCCTGCTCGACTTCATTGCGTCGGTGTAGATGCTGTTCAGGTTTGAAGTTGTTGCGGGACCACGGTATTGTGCGGCATTTGACATGTTCTCAGATTCGGCGTTGGCTCGGTATTGGTTCGGCATCGGCATGGTACGGCTGTCTCGTGTTCGGCATTGGTTTAGCATCGCTGAGGTACACGTCGCAGATCCTTTTCGGGTTCGGTATTGGTACGGCATTGGTTCGGCGCCGAAGTGGTACACACATCTGCTTTTTTTTTACAGGCTCGGGGATGGCTGTTTCGGGTCCGGAATAGGTTCTGCACTACCCTGGCTTTTCAGTTTTTCTAAGGTTTCGGCGATGCTATGGTATGGCCACTGAGACGGTAACCTATGATGGTCGGTTGATGTCGGCACAACACATTGGCTGCTTGAAGAGGGTTCTGATCTGATTCGGGATTGCTGCGGGTCATAAAATTACCACGGGTACGGCACATACGCCCTTTGGTTCGGTTGGCGTGGTACTATGACCAAAACTGCTATGACTCGGCACCGGCCACTGTGAATCAGGCTTGCTACTGCCTTGATTTCACGTGGACCGATTTATGCCACCCTTGGCACCAACCAGGGGAACTCCTGCTGCGAGGGAAAATTTTGGTTGGGACGGTACTCCGTACCGTCTGAGGCTTGGCACTTTACGACAAAGGGGTTTGCCTAGTTCGATACTTTCAGTTTGGTGCCGTCACTGACCGGTACTGGTACGATACACATGCTCCTTGTCGCGGAATTTGATGAGAACTGGGATTGCCGCAATTCACTCCAGTTCAATGTCATCATTCTGGTACGATCTTAGTTCCAAGACAGCCTGGTCTCGACGACATGGTTACTAGCTCGATATTGGGACGGTACACTGCGGCTGGAGACTTTTACTTCGTGGTGTGGTTCCTGATACTATTCACTGTGGTTGCCACTGCAATATTGGCGTGGGTGCTGGCTCGACACGGGAACGGCTTACCATTCTGTTCATAGCGTTAATTGGCCCCCCAGCCGGCACCGGAATATCCACATCGGACCTACAGCCCTGATATCGGCCCTGACATTGCAAAGCTGGCTATGCTGGCGTCCCCTTAAGGCCATGGCCTCTGGTACCGTGGGGATATAGGCCGGATCGGCGAGGTGCAGAGAGAAGGGGGGGACGAGGGACATTCTGAGGGACGCGCCAGGTGTACCCAGTCCGCATTGAAGGCGATCTGAGACACGCCCATTCGGAGGGCGGTCAACAAGAGAGTTATGCGTAGTATGGACTGTGGGGGGGGAGTTTTTTTTGGGGGGGCAGCGTGCTAGGCGTACACAGCCCACCACCCGTTCGACTGGTGAGAGAGAGAGGAGAGCAGGAGGAGAAGGGGAGAAGACGATGTGGCTGGTGTGCGCGGCGGAAGGGTGCAACACGTTTCGTCGCGCCAGGCACGCGGCAGCGAAGAGGGGAAGTGGAGAAGTGAGCATGAGGAACGCGCGAGAGGGAAGAGATACTCATGGGGAGATGGCGACGACCATGCTACACGCCGCCAACCTGGTTGCAACCGGGAGGGGATCACTTATTAGGCGGATGGAAGGTCCATAGGGGACGGTGCGCACGGATTGTGACCGCAGAGAACGCAGTGAATGAGTCTTGGGCATCCTCATGCCTTCTTCAGTCAACATACAGGAGAGGCAAGAAGGGGAAAGAAACAGACATGGTGGAAGGGAGGGCATTTGTGGACACCGTACCTAGGATATGCGGTGCACAGCGACTGCCCCTAGTTAGTGTCCGTTTGTGTGAGCAAGCAGGTAGCAGCCATGGTAGGCACGCATGCTGCAGCTGAGAAGAATGACGGTCCTCCCCCTGATTTGCGGACATGTGAGTGGTTGTGCGAGCGTGTGATTCTACTAGTGTACGTTTGTGTTCACTCACACAGGCAAGCGGGCTGAAGTCACGGCGAGAAAGTGAGCTGGTTGTGATCATACACGTTTGTCCAACTGCTGGAGTACAGTCAAGCACCAATCATGGACAATCATCTGAGCTACAAGCGCTCAGCAAGAGGACTGCACTCTACTACTCCGCTGGTTGGGTGAAATGACTTATCTATTTATTTATTTATTTATTTATTTCGAAATATTTGAAAGTCAGTAATCCTGTGATGCTGGAGTACAGTCAAGCAACAGTCATGGACAATCATCTGAGCTACAAGCGCCCAGCAAGAGGACTGCACTCTACTACTCCGCTGGTTGGGTGAAATGACTTATTTATTTATTTATTTATTTATTTCAAAATATTTGAAAGTCAGTAATCCTGCGATGCTGGAGTACAGTCAAGCAACAGTCATGGACAATCATCTGAGCTATGAGTGCTCAGCAAGAGAACTGCACTCTACTACTCCGCTGGTTGGGTGAAACGACTTATTTATTTATTTATTTATTTATTTTGAAATATTTGAAAGTCAGTAATCCTGTGATGCTGAGGTACAGTCAGGCACCAATCACGAACAATCATCCGAGTTGCAAGTGCCAGGTGAGAGGGCTACATTACACCGCTCCCGTGATTGAGTGAAAGGGCGATTTATGGATTTATTTATTTTTGAAATATTTTTGAATCAGTAATCCCTTGAGAGTGGTGCACGATCAAACACTCAATCACGGACAAACGTCTGACTTCCAAGCGTCCATGAGGGATGAGTGAGTGATCTGGATCAAGGCGCGCGAGAGAGAGAGAGAGAGAGAGAGAGAGAGAGAGAGAGAGAGAGAGAGAGAGA